AACAGTAGTAACAGTAGTAACAGTAGTAACAGTAGTAACAGTAGTAACAGTAGTAACAGTAGTAACAATAGTAACAATAGTAACAATAGTAACAATAGTAACAATAGTAACAATATAAAAGCTGACAGATTCATAAAACATTAAATTAGCTTAAAAAAAGTAACTTCTGTAATCTAGCTCTGCACTGAATGTTAGTTAAATTAACACCACTCACACTTCTCTGAACTTCACTATGACCCTTAAATCACTTTCTTCAGTATTTCTCTGCTCTGCCCTGCATGACACCTCACTTCACAATATATCACTTATGCATCGCTCTATAACCTACTATTCTTAGTTCATTCCCTCACTTACTTAGTAATACCCTAAATTAATTTCCTTAACTGTTGAGTGCTTCGAGGAGAGCATTCAAAGGTTTTTGCAGGCGATCTGGTCCATTCTTTTATCGTTTGTTTTGTGAAAGAAAATTTCCCGACACCTGTTCTCTGCGGTCTTAAATTTGTTTTGGGCCTGCGATCCCCCCCTACTGATATATGTAGGAATTCTTAGCTGCTGATTAATTTCTTTAGCAGAGTGTTATTCATGAATAGGAAATATGTAGTGGATTGGTTACTGATGTATATTTGTACTGTGTTTATAATAGTCTCTGCTGATTTCTTTACGGCATTCATTTGATTAAATAGTGTGACTAAATTTTAATACTTTTTGTGTAGGTGTTCATTCTGTGGCTTTGGATGTGCTTCAAACCTTGGTTCGTTATTCAGTTCCACCACTAAGCAATATTTTAATAAATACAGCATTCCCTGCTGCCATTCAATGCATCATGAGGACAACAGACAATTCCACTTTACAGGTAAAAGTTGGTTTAAGTGTTCCTATTAAGATTGATTTATAATAGGTTTTACTGAGCTAACCTAACTGTAACCTTATTTTGTCTACCATTAAGAATTGTATTATTAGGGTACAGAGTAGTTTATATTTAAAAATGCTGAATTGAAATCGCTTAATGCTGATTTCATTTACAGAAAATACAATTGAATTAGTTGCTGAGCATTTAATTCTGTGTGCAAATGTGTAAGAAAGGCAAACCATGTAAGCATATGATATATCCTTTGGTTCTGTTTTATATTAATAAACAAATTTTAAAAATATATACTGATTGGATTATTTGGTTGCATGTAAAGCAACAGGACCAAAAGGGAAAATCAGTGACAAAGGATTGGCAAAGTTGACTGCTGCATTTCTATTAAAGAAAAGTATTTGACCCAGATGTAAGGATTTAATAGCTAATACTTTAACCCTTTGACTACTAATCACTGAAAGCGGTTTGCATGTCCGCTGTGCTGATTCATCAGACAGATTGCTCGTCTCTGTGGAGCACTTTACAATGTTACACAACACTGTCAGCAGTTGAAACTGTTCAGATCAGAGAAAAATGATCTCACACCATATGCTTGCAATGAAGTGGAAGTCTCATAACCTTAGGACGACCTCAAATGTCATTCTACACATAGAAACATAGTACCCGATCGTGTTGAAATGAAAGAAAACAAACTAGCAAGAATGCATATATATCTCTGTAACACAGGGAGCACTTCAAATCTCAGACACACAAACACCTGCATAGCACGTGAGCCTAACGGACATTCATTGCAGTTAAACTGTTAAAATTCAAAAGTTGTCAAGTGGTTTGAAAGTATTGCTATTAGATTTTTTGATATTTATTCTTTATTGTTGGTATGGCTTATGACATAATACAAATTAATGGTAATTTGATGATGATAATGATGAACTTTCAATACTTAGAGGAAATGTATTGGGCACTGAAGGTTACAGAAAAGAAAATCTCCTGTACCTGATAACATTGCTATTGAACTGATATGAAAATACAGGAGAAGCAATTATAGGAAAGATTTTACAGATTTGCAATGTTATATGGGTAAAGGAAGAGTGGCTGTTGTGTTTTTGTTTGTTTTTTCTCCATAAAACTTCAATTTTTATTCAACAGTTCACCCACTTTGCCCACATTATCATTTAACACCAACAAAATAGTTTGCCTTGGGGCTTTACAATATTCAACATTTTACTAATCACATGTATCTGTTATTTTAAGATAGCTTGGGATATTCTACAGTTATTATATTAATTTATCATTTAACTTCTATTTCTGATTTCAAGAGAAATGCAATTGATTTCATGCTGCAAGATGATTTCTAAGTTAATTCAGTTATCTTTTTCAAGGAAAGTGTTAGCTAATCCAAGCTGTGATAAATTGTATTATGAAGGGCAGTTTCTAAAATGTATATCATAGAGCTCTTAATTGCGTTTAGAAAAGATTGATGACAGACCCAACTGTGACCAGAAAGTGCCAACTGATAGTGAAGTTGACTTTACGTATTGAGTACTACGCAAAGAAAAATATTTCAGTTAGTACAGCTTAGAACTTTTTAGCTGATTGTTTATGTCATTTCTTTGTATGTACCATACTTTCCCGAATATAAGAATAGTTTTTCCCTATATATGTCATTCGATATGTATGGTGTCATGTCATATTTGAAGATTAAGCCTAGTCAATTACAATTTATGTTTTTCCATGGCCTTCCCATGTAATGAAACTAGTAAGGGTTTACATAACAATAACCTGCTAAGGTAATAAATGTCACATATCTATAAGACATAATTATATTCATGGTTGTACTTTCAGTATTCACTGTGAATTTGCAGAGTAATTCAGACTGATACTTTTGGATGGAAAGAGAGACATATTGCATTGCATCAAGTGAAACAAAATGTGAAAATGAATAAAAATCATTTCCAAGATTTTGTTACATGATGCCCGTTAAAGGGTCAAGAGGATGCACAACCCTCACTTCAACATCTGCCAAGTGTCCGTTTTGTCAAGAGATGAAAATGAAAAAATTCACATTGATAGAAGTATGTTTACATTCTACATCCAGCTACAGAAAAGATTGATAAATATTTCCAAAGCAAAAACTTCCCAAACTTGGAAACTTGTCACTATCTCCAAAGTTACCTACGAAGCAGAGGATCAGATCTATGAGTCAGCAGTTCACAACTCGATCACACAAACATTAAACAATGCATGCATGGTGTATATTCCGTTGAGTACAAAAGAACTGTTAAAAGAATACAAGCGAGACAGGTAGAAAATGTGGTAATTCAGAAGGGTGTTCGTTGGTGTCATTTGAAGGACTAGGAATCCAAATTCAGTGCACACACAACTTTCAGAGGGCTAAAAAGTCATAGCATGGGTGGAGGACCAAAAACAAACAATGATACACATGAAGGGGGTTGTGACAAAAACCATGATCATAATGATTTTTACAAACAAGAGCTTATTAGTTCAGGTGTAAAGGTATAACATTCTAATCCACAAAACAATTTTCTCATCAATTAGACAATTTACGAAATTTATTTTCTCAAAATAGTAAAAATTAGTGAAATATTTTAGGTCTCTCCAAAATTCAGTCGTCTTATATTCAGGTAAATACGGTAATATCAATAACATATAGTACCCTATATTTCTAAGTCCATTATTTTGCTTTGTGTATTGTAATTCTTATACTTATATCAGAAATATTAAATATTTTATTTAAAAAATGAATGTTTATAAAATGTAAACATTTTGAAGAAGATTTAGAGTAATAGAAATTAGTAAAAATGCAAAGTACAATCATCAGAGGTTCACTGTATCCAATATTCCAAAATACAAAAAATAATTTTCTCCAAAATCATTGATTTTGCTAATTCAGAAGTTCATAAAGCATTCAAACACCATGAATTCAAAATTTCAGGGTCTTTAGCCTTACAATCAAATTTTTTGTTAGCATTTGCTAATAAAAATTTTTATGATTAATTTTTGTAGATTCTTCCTTGTGCCTGTGCGTTCCCCATACTTGATTCAATGATGCCCATACTCTCAAAATTTCTTAGTTCAAGTCTTTATACTCTTGTAAGACTTTTAGACTGTAAGAACACTTTTTTCATATGTAATGTCTTGTCCGTTACACTCAAGCATGACGAATAACTAGAACAGAAGAAATTAATTTCTTCCTTTCAGGAAGATCCTTTCACAGACAGTGTTTCTATTGTACTAGCCAGATGAGATTTTATTTGCTTTCATGCTACAATCTGCATCAACAAAGTCTTCAGGATCATCAGAATTACCATAGATGTGTTGGAACAATGGTTATTGGAATTCAATTTTTCTTTTTTTCTTCTCTTTCTTTTTCTTCTTCTTCTCCTTTTCTTCTTCTTCTTCTCCTTTTCTTCTTCTTATTCTTCTTCTCCTTTTCTTCTTCTTCTTCTTCTTCTTCTCCTTTTCTTCTTCTTTTCTTCTTCTTCTTCTCCTTTTCTTCTTCTTTTCTTCTTATTCTTCTTCTTCTCCTCCTTTTCTTCTTCTTTTTTCCTTTACTGTTTCCTATATTAACTATAATTGAAACATTTAGGATTCCTTCACATGCAGACACCACAACTGGTAGCAGAGCATTACTTCGAATGGAGATATTCCCCCTGGGACACTCGCTACACTGTTTTACCCAATACATTTCTTTGTTCTTCAGCAGCGAAACCTGCTCGTGCTGAATCCTCCCCGTCCACTGTGGGTGGCTGTATGGTGGTGGTCCGTGAGATGAGCCTTGCCGTTTATTGGAAATGTGCAGCTGTGTCCACATTGGAAAAGGGCCTTAGTGTTCATTTGTTATGAGTAACAGACACTATGATTCACTGAAATTAAAAGTTCACTATATGCAGAGTTGACTGTATTTAGTTATCATTGCAACAAGGATCTAAAAATATGAATGTATGAAAACAGTAACCTTGGACAGAATAGGTAGGTAGGTACAGAATCTCAGGTGTTAAATAAAAAGACTTGAGCTTTGTTTGGAAAGAGAGGTCTCAAATTGGCATCTGAAAGGACAGGGAAACTAGAGATCATGTAGTAAACCTTAAGTGGATAATAAAAGAAACCAGAGAAATTCCATAATAACCTTTCTTTTTCCTTTTTGGGTTATTGCAAAGCTTTTGGTGGTTTGGATCATTATTTTAACCAATGTGGGCATGCCTGAGCATATAGTAACTAATAAGAAAACTTCAACACAAGAGGCAAAGAGACCATTTAGCTAAGGAACTGATTGGGATGTGTCCTCGTCCCAGGTTTATTTAACTTGTAAACAGAATATGTAATGAGAGCAGTAAAATTGAATTAAATAAATATCAGTATATGGATTTGATGACACCAAGTAAATAATATTTGTTGTGTATATACTTCATTCTCTGCCTTGCCATTAATAAAAACATTAATTACAAAACAAGAAAGACCTTGAAAAGCTATTTCTGAGCATGATAGAAGAAAGAATACAGTAAAATAATAAAAAATAAAAACAATTAAGTAAAGTTTCTGGAGTAACAGTAACAAAAGGCCTGCAGAAATGAAATGAAGAATTGTTCTGGAAAGGCAGCCATGAGAGAGTATAATAAATTCGTCAAATGCTCAGTTATCATTTAGAACAAATTTATGTTCATACAAACATTGATATTTTCTGTTGTATGACCCTTTAGTGCTAGACCCAAAGAATTGGGGGGGGATAATACATGCCTTTGAAGTGTGGTGGTGTTAGAAATTATTGAAAATTCATTCATTATGCGGAACAAATTTATCTATACTGCTGTAGGTGAAGCCTGGTTGCCCTTTAGAAAGTAGACCCATTGGTTAAAAAATCATCATCCTTAGGACATATTGCAGGAAAGGACTTATTGGAGAAGGATATGTTTGGAATAATGGATTGGACTAGGCAACACACAAGGAGAACAAGAACACAATGAAGAAAAGAATGGAGAAAGTTAATAGAAGAAATGACAACAAAAAGAAATACTTTCAGAAATAGGCTATGAACCTACTACCATGAATATCTCTAAGGATCGCATGCAATTTATGTATTACTACTACAAATATGACTAACAAACAATCGCTGAAAAGGGTTTTGAAAAATATATTAGAACATTTACTTGCTATTTTGAGCTCTTGTCATTTTATGTTATGGGAATAGAATAGACTTTTTGTAATTTTACTATGTTGTGTAATTATACTATGTTTATCTCTCTATCTTTTACATCTTCTACGCCTTGCCCTCCTTAATTCTTTCCTCTTCCTTTTCCTCCTGCTCCTTTTTCATTTTTATCTTTGGTAGGGTTCAAACTAATATTAATGTGGCAGAACAGTTGTAGAGGTTGCTGCAATATGAAAGCATAAAAAGTATATCTTCTACTACTTCTTCTTCTCCTACTTCTTTAACTTCTTCTACTTCTTCCTCTACTTCTTATTGTTACCGTTATGTATACGATTATAAATATTGTCATTATAATTATCTGCATTTATAAATTACCATCTTTGTGCTGTGTTCTTTGTTTTACCTGGTCAGCAATATTTAGAATTAGCTTTCCAATACATTAGAAACTTTTACTTTTAAGTTTCAAACTTGTTACAGAGTGGTGGTGAATGTTTACGAACATATATTTCCATTGCCCCAGAACAAGTTTGCAGTTACCACGATTCAGAAGGACACACAGGATTGTGGTACATTCTGCAAGTTGCAGCCTTACTGCTGAATCCCTCATCCTCAGAATATTCAGCAACATTTGTCGGACGTCTACTTATCACGCTTATTACAAAAGCTGGAGATGTTTTGGGTGACAATCTAGACCTTTTGTTGAAAGCTGTTTTGAGCAAAATGCAACGTGCTCAAACTTTAAGTGTTATTCAGGTGAGAGGAAAGAAATTTTACAAAATTATAGTGTGCAAAGAGGCAAGGGAACTATGCTTGAAATTGAATTGAAGCTTCTATAAGAAGTATCACATTCATATGGTTTGAATTTTTTCCCCCCTTTAATCCACCCAAAAAATTGTTTCACAATTCTTGAAAATTAGTATGCAAAGTTTATTCAGCACACCAGACACAAGAATCTATATTTGGATTGGAACCTATATTTAGATCTTATTGACATCCTGTAGCACCTACACTATGTGATCAAAAGTATCCGGACACGTGGCTGAAAATGACTTACCAGTTCATGGCGCCCTCTATCGGTAATGCTGGTATTCAATAGGTTGTTGACCCACCCTTAGCCTTGATGACAGCTTCCACTCTGGCAGGCATACATTCAATCGTGCTGGAAAGTTTCTTGGGGAATGGCACCCCATTCTTCACGAAGTGCTGCACTGAGGAGAGGTATTGATATTGGTCAATGAGGCCCCTGCACGAAGTTGGATTACCAAAACATCTCAAAGGTGTTGGAAGTTATTCAAGCCAGGACTCTATGCAGGCCAGTCCATTACAGGGATGTTAATGTCTTGTAACCACTCCGCCACAGGCCTTGCAGAATGAACAGGTGCTCGATCGTGTTGAAAGGATTAATCGCCATCCCCAAATTGCTCTTGATCAGTAGGAAGCAAGAAAAACATCAATGTAGGCCTGTGCCGCGATAGTGCTACACAAAACCACGAGGGGTGCAAGCTCTCTCCATGAAAAATACTACTACGCCATAACGCCATTTTAGACGTGTCCAGGTACTTTTGGTCACGTAGCCTACATAAGAGGCCTTTTGCTGTGTTCGCGTTGTGTGTAGAAGTGTTCAATGTAAAATCCTTTTCCTTTTAAAAGGAAAACCAAAATTGTTCATAATAATCAGAAGTTATTGTTCTAGTTTCTATTCTACTTCCTTGTTTGCTAGATTTGAGATGCAGAGTTGGATTTCCATTTATATTCATTTTTCCACAGAGTTTGGTGATGGTATATGCTCATTTGATACATACCAAATTGGATGCTGTTTTGAATTTCCTGTCTACAATTCCTGGACCTACTGGTGAATCTGCTCTTCATTTTGTTCTGACTGAGTGGTGTGCTCGACAGCATCTTTTCTATGGAGCCTATGAAGGCAAAGTCAGGTAGGTGCAATAAAATTGAGGGGGAGGGGAGAGAGTGATAGGGAGAGTGTGAGTGTTGACGCATGGACACAACACACACACGTATATACTCGTATGCTCACACATTCAAATTAATAAAAATGTGGTGTTGTGAGAATCTTCAGTTTAGATCCAGCTTTCCATTATAGTTAAAAAAATTGAGAGACCTTTCAAAATGTTTTCAATCTCTTTCTCATACCAAACTATTTTTGATTAAGAATGAAAGGAATAGTCTCAAAGCACTTCTTTTGTTAATTACATAATGATGCATATTATTAATTACTTTGTTTAATTATTAACTGTGTTAAAATTGAAGATTGATTAAATATGTCAAGTTTCATATATTAAATATGTCAAGTTTCATTCAAGTTAAATATGTCAAATTTCCATAACCTTGTAAATTCAATTTTGAATTCTAATTTATAAGATTTATAATGTACAAATGAAATGGATTTTACTGAAACGATAATGCTTATCAGAAGGATCTGATAGTCCAGTAATGTTTGATATTTTCAATTCAAATAAACACTGCTGTCTTGTCTCTTAATATAAATAGTGGAGGGGCCAACCTCTCCCCCCCCTCCCCGGTAATTATTTCGAAAGGTCCCATAGACATGAAAAAATAAGATAGGCATACATCGTTAACCTTGGTGAAATAATGTGCCTCTAGCGATTTATATTATTAAAATTAATTTTTAACATTTTCTATGAAATATCTTTCTTCATCAGAAATACAGTAATGCACCCAAAAAAACTGGTACAGCCATGCATATTGAAATAAACATTAAATGTGACAAAAGTGCTACCCTTACGTAAAATTGCAGCAGATTTCAATGCTGGGCCGTCAACAAGTGTCAGCGTGCAAACCATTCAACGAGACGTTATCGATATGGGGTTTCAGAACCGAAAGACCAATAGCGTACCCTTGATGACTGCAGGACTTTACAACTACAAAGCTTTATGCCTCGCCTGGGCCCGTCAACACCAACACTGGACTGTTGATGACTGAAAACATGTTGCCTGGTCTAACGCGACTCGTTTGATATTGTTCCGAGCAGATTGACATGTAAAAGTATGGCGACAATCTCATGAATCCATGGATCCTGCATGTCAACAAGGGACTGTTCAAGCTGGTGGAGGCTCTGTGGTGGTATGGGGCATACGCAGTTGGAGTGATATTGGACACCTGATTCGTCTAGATCCGACTCTGACAGGTGACACGTACGTAAGCAACCTGTGTGATCACCTGCATCCATTCATGTTCATTGTGCATCCTGACGGACTTGGGCAATTCCAACTGGACAATGCGTCAGTCCATACATTAAGAATTGTTACAGAGTGGCTCCAGAAACACACTTCTCAATTTACACACTTCCACTTGCCACTGAATTCTGCAGATATGAACATTATTGAGCCTATCTAGGATGCCTTGCAGTGTGCTGTTTGGAAGAGATCTCCACCCCCTTATGTTCTTAAGAGTTTGTGGATAGCTCCGCAGAATACATGGTGCCAATTACCTTCAGCACTACTTGAGATATTAGTCGAGTCTATGCCACGTCATGTTGAAGCACATCTGCGTGTTTGCAGGTGCTCTACACATTATTAGGCAGTTATACCAGTTTTTTTGGCTCTTCATTGTAATATTGCTTGACTCATATTTTGTTCAAATTTTTTTAGAAATATTATGTAAATGATAACCAATTGGTTTGAAATTATCATTTTAAATGTTTCTATAAATTTAATCAACTGAAGTAAAAATAAATAATGCTCTTTAGTCAAATGTGACCACAACATTTCACATAAAAAAAAATTGTTTATTAGTTTATGTTCTTCTTGAACGAATAAGTTTTCATGCAAATTTCCTTTACATTTGAATTTCTTGCTTTACGAGTACTTTGTAAGAAGACGAAGTTATGTTATCGTGCATCGGGAAATGATGAAAATTTTTTAATATTTTTATAAAAAATTTTAAAATTACATCAAATGAAAATAATGATATAGAAGGGGTTTTTTTTTATTCAATATTTATTACAAGTACAGTTCTAGAAAGATTTCAGTCTATTGACTGATGGAAAATTTCTTCGATATTCTTAAAGAATGTGTATAATGTACTGATGTTGCATTTAATCTAGAGTTCGTAAACTGTTGTAGTCTTCAAATAGCTTCATATTTCTTTTTTGTCATTTATGACTTTGATACCTTTAATAACTTTTTATTAGCAATGTAATTTTCATCAGATTCCCAATTTTCAGGGTCTATTTGCATCTAGCGTTCAACACAAACTGTTCAAAAAAAGGTTCATTAAAATACTTAAAAAAGGAAGTTTTGGACCTACAAGTCGCTAAAGGCATGCTATTTGACTAAAACCAAAGCTTATGATGTTTGCCAACCTTCATTTTTATGTCCATGGGACCTTGGGAAATGATTACCTAGAAGAAAAAACGTTTTTACATGATATACATGTTACACATAATATCCATGTTATATTCATTTACTATGTACATGTTTTTTTCTCCCTCAGCACTGTTGCACTTTGTAAACTATTGGAGCATGGCTTGGCTCATAATGATGAACGCCTTAGTAGCATATCAGTGAAAGGAGATCAACTATATGTAACTGAAGGAGAAGCAGGCACAAAAACACGTTCCCAATCCCAGAATCAAATGGATCATTGGACCACAATTCCTTTGCTGGTGAAGATCTATAAATTGCTTGTAAATGAATTGAGCAATGCCATGGAAGCTAGTGCAGCTAAGACAAGTGAAGATTTGGAAGTATGTAGATCGATCTTGTTTTTGTTGTGTTGTAGTCTAGCTGACTTAAAAACTGATTTTCTTCCTATTATATTCTTTACCCAGCTCATTCTTCCATTGAATAATATGAATGGAGCTGGACATTGTCACTCAAATTTGATCATTCTCAGTCATGAAATGGGCATTGTTGAGAATTATGAAACCAATACTAAACTTATTGGTGTGCACCTCCACATCAGTAGTCAAAAGGAAAATGATGGATAATGAATGCTGGAGTTGTTGTGGATCTCTTAATACTTAAGCCAGTTGAGGCAGTCAATGGCCTAACCTCTCTTGGACAATATGGGCTGGTTGTGTAAAGCTTTCTCTATGGGATCCATTGCAATGGGTTCAGTAAAATTTATAGATTCCATAGGCAGTGCACCAGTGCATAAAAGTAAATGTTTGGAATCTATAACTAGAGATTCTGTAATAACTTTGAGATGCAACCAATAGATAGTGACACAGTTAATATTTGAATACTACTTATTCCTTGCAGCGTTTTGCACGTTCTTAGCAAGTATTGCGTTCTATTGAGACGTTTTCGGTTGTTTTTCTCAAAACAGTTTTGGTAGCAATATAATTATATTTCATTATATTCATTAATTATTTTCATTTTAGTTTATTTTTTGTTTAATTCTTATAGTACATTAAATAAAATTAATTCCTTATATTAGCCATTGGCTATTTGAATTGAAATTAATTAATTTACCTTCTATTTTTAATTTTAAATATTATAACTAATAATGAACTACTATTCAGATCTCATGGAAATAAAGTAATAATTAATTTGCTATCGAAACAATTACGTAGTACACATTAATGTAAGAAGAGCCCAGAACTTAAAGCATTTATGATGCCAAATATAGGCAAACAAAAATGCTCTATAATATGATACGAGTTTAAAAAAAAATTAATTATAAGCTAATCATTTAAATTACTCAAATTTTTTTTGTAATGTTGATATTAATACTAGCACTTACAAGGAAAAGTTTTCTTCATTCGTAATGAAATTTTGTAATCTTCATTGGTTATTATTGATTTATTGGAAAGAAATTGTTTCACAACTGAAAATTATTCTTTATGACAAATCGAATTTCAGCATTATGACTGCAAATTAAATTCACTGATGATAATACGTAGGGTTAATTGTGGCCTGAACTATTCTTTTCTTTTTATTTTCAACTCCTGCAATACAGATTTGTACTTACCAGGCATAAAACCGAGAGTCCATGCAACCTTATCGATCAATTATAAGGATATTGCATTGTGTAACAAAATCTCAGCAACAATTTTATTTTTAAATTAATATTTCTTACTTCACTTATTGCAATATCATTCATTTAAGACTCTTACTTAACTGGCTCATTAAAAAATATTGCTCTGAATTGTTCGGCAAATTCACGGTAGATGCCAAAGAAATGTTCGTGAATGTAGTTCTGAATTTGTAGATGCACGTGATATTTTTAGCATATTTGTCGCTTATTGTTGAATTAACATTTACAAGTTTAGTGTCCTGGTAAGGCAATGCAAAAACATCAATCCTAACCACTTGGGCTTAATCTGTGAAAATAAGACAACCGTATTGTTTGAATGAGATTTTGGTGAAAAAAACAGTCTTATAATTGGGTAAATACTGTATTCTTGGACCTACCGAAAAGTGTTGGATATTTTAGCATGTTGAAGTGATCAATTATGAAACTAGCAGTAGAGTAATTCTGGTATATGTCAATTGTTTTTCCAATACGTTTATTTTTGCAAGATAGCTGGTATGGTTTAGCTCCTCCTTAAATCATATAACTGCTAATAAAATTTGGTCCTAGCATCTTGTTTCAATATGCACTTTTTCTTTTAGGAAACTGATGAGGAATGGAGTGGTGAAGAAGATGAGGAAGGGAGCTGCCTTGAACATAGAAAAAAGGAGAAAATATTCATAGGTATGAGGATGTTATTAGGGAAGTTATAGAGGCTTAGGTGGCTCAGGGCATCAGTTGATGTCACTGCAGTGCCTCTGATTGGGAGGTCGTAGGGTTCAAGTCCCGATAGTGGCAGGATTTTCAACACTAGCTAGGTCAAATTCAGCCACCATCTGGAGGAAACTTCTAGTGGCTAACTGCTCTGTTTGATAGTTTTCCATGGTTTCTCTGATGCACTCCAGACGAATGCCAGAACAGTACCCGACTAAATGAACAATTAACTGTACATGATTCCTTTCTCTTCCTTGTCCGATCCTCACCCCTTACACACACTTACACTTACATGCACTACACCACCACACATGTCAGCAGACCTGCCAGGAACTCTTATCCCAGCTGGGACGATGCCTTGCTGGTGGGAGATTCCTGGTTGGGAAAACCCTGCAAGCTGACTTATAGGTCAGTGCTTGACCTTGCCATCTGTTGGGGATCATCATCGCCACCATCTGTGATAAAAACATGCACTACGGGATTATTGAGGCTAGCTATTGTCATTTTCGAAAAATACTAATCGATCAATCAACAAAGCTTAAAAGTAAATAAAATTGAAGCATTTGAAAAGTACAAGAAATGTGAGTTCCAGAAAAGATGCATGTCTTTTTAACTTCATACATACTTGCATTATAATATTCAGTAGTTTCCATAAAGGTCGTAGACAAAACGTCCAGTTTTAAAAAATTATCTGAAGAAGGAAAAATTATTGGAGTGTTATGGTAGTTAATGTATTCACAAGATTGGAATTTTTTAGTTTCTCTGGATTAAACAATCATGTCATATCACCAAGCACCATAAGGTTTGTTCTCTAACAATTTTTTGAAACTTTTCTGTATATTTTAGTTTCACCATTTTTATTTGTTTGATAAAGACCATGTAGCAAAATACAAAGAGTATAACTAAAGTGCATACACAGCACATGGGTATCTGGTTACAATAATTCATTAACATACTAACCAACTGTTTCTCGCCAAAGATAGGAATTTACAATAATTCGTTTGAAAAGATCACATTCACTGATTTGCACATTCTGTTTATTGGATTATTTGCAGTGAATGACATAGTATAAGTTTTTACAAAGAAAAGATCGGATCATCTCATTAATATAGCAGGGACTGTTAAAGTTAATGACCAGTCTTATCATTTATTATTTTATATATGAACGTTACAATTCTCTGAATTATTTTAATGTGGGGATGTTTTGCAATAAAGAAATGTCATAACATTGATGGTCAATGAAGGATCTGGAAGTCCCAGGTGGGGCAGCAAATGTAAATAATTTGCGTTGTACTGTTTCCAATTTCTGTATCTGATGTAAGTAAGAAGGAGACAAAATTGCTGATTGTACATTAGTATTGGTTTAACAAGCGTCAGATAAAGAGACTGCAATGTGTCAATTGAGCTGAAGAACTTATTCTCTTAACTTGTTTCTATACAATATAAAATGACTTATCCCTAATAGTAATAATTTTCTCAAGTGGAACAAAATCAATTTTGTAATCATACTGCACAGGGGATCTAGACCATAAAAACGTAATGCATGTACATTTTTCAAGATGTATATTTATGTCCTTATCAAAGCACCACCTAACAAAAAGACTGAGAATACTCTGCAACATCTCGGCATCATCCAGTCCAGCAACAACTTTGAAGAGTTGGTGAAATTTGTTATGTATTAGTCGGCCTGAAAATTAATTGATCCAGCCGAATTTGGGATTAATGAAGCTTTATTTTCCTCCAATGTAGTGTGTTTCATAGCCTTGTGCTTCATTTACATAACAAATGGCATTTTATAAAAAAGGAAGTATGTGAAATAAAATAATTCATTGATATGGTGAGGTACCAAGATTTGACCCTATAAAGCGTTTCATAAATTTCAAATGTTTTCTTAACTTGGGGTGTAGGCAAATTATGCGCAAAAAATAGATTTTTGTTTTTTTATTCCCATATTATTCCACACAGCTTTTCGCAGAGAGCCATGAGTAGGTGTGGAGTAGGAGTTTGACAGGCTTTTGGAAAACGTCTGTTTTAGAAGGCTGCGATTATTCCTGAATAAGCAAACTAGTATGTACATGCTGTTTGAAGGAGTTTTTGTCTGCTGCTCACCATTGTATGCTGTGACAATGTTTTCTTTTATGAAGAATTGGTGTATGGTGAAGTCATTGGAGTGATAGTAACCGATTAAGTGAGCAGTTAGCAAATGAAAGTGATAAAATAGCTCAAATATTTAATATTCCATCATGAAATATAAACAGATGGATTATTGAGAATTAAGAATCTTGGAGAGTGCAATCTTGAAACACAATTATGAATTTCTGTTTTGGAAACCACTCCTAGTGCCGTAAACGTGATAGAGGTTTGTGTAATGAACTTAAAGAAGAGAATGTTGGCAGTAGTTTTGGAATGAGACTTATAAATCCTATCTTTAAGTATTAGTAAATATTAATATTATGAAAAATAATGCTAAACACACTCTGCTTAGGAAAAATGTCAAAAGAATAAAATAGATGAAGATTATGTTCCATAAATGATTCTTCAATGTTTGCTAGCAATTTCCCATTATCTTCATTGATTAATGTTCCATTTTATAAAAAACTATTCAATGTATAATTTTCATATTTCTTATTTAATTGCAGAATACAAAGAAAAGAATACGTGTAAGGATTTTTTTCAAATATTGCTTAGATTCTTCACGACAATTTTGTAAGCATAAATCTTTTGCATCTAATAATATGTCATTCATGAATTAATATTTAACAAAATATAACTATTCTTTAATTACACTCAGTTGTTTATATATATTTCAGGAGCAGTTATGCAAAGTTTTAAATTGAAAATATAATTGGTTATTCAGAGAAGTGTACTGTAGTGATGTTAAACATCCAGAAATTCAAAATTTTGTATTAAAAACAACAACAAAATAAGTTTTATTTAATAATAAACATTTTTTTAAATATAAACTTCTTCAGGCTACAAAATTTCATTACTCTACATCAAATCCCTGCTGCTAAAAATTATAATTCTACATTGTGTAAATCTGCCTACATCCCCTCCTGAAGAGTTCTATTATATTTTATGTCTCAAAAAATTAATTACAATTAATAGATTACCTGACAAAGTAAACAAAGTACAATCTAAAATCCAACTGTAAATCATACTAGAGAATAAAAGCATAATTCTGAAAGTAAATTATCATTATAATTATTATAAAGAGAACTGAAGATAACCTAATTGGCGTTTTTCTTTGAAATGTGATTTCAAAGTGTACTGAGCTAACAGCATCCTCACAGCGGCAATCTATTTCCCTCTTGATTGAATAAAATAATCTTGTGCTGATTCTTGTGACAGTTCTTATAGATTATCTTAAGTCAATGACCTCGCAGGTCTGCTTCTGCTTTGGTGAAGGTAACTTGTCAGTTCTATACAGTTGTAAAATAAATGCCCTGTCTGAAAACTATCAATCAGATCATCTCTTTTGCTAATGTTCTTCGAATGTTGGGTCTTATGTGTAATATGGTAACCAAATAGAAAGGTGCTATATTTTTTTTCGAAAAGATCAAATGATATATTTTTAAAAGCTTTTCTTATTGTATATTGGTATTGTATAATTGATCTTTGGGGAAAATTTCTTATATGGTTTCCTTTTCTAGGTCATTTTAGATAATGATTCCAGTATTTAATTCTTATTCAACAGTTGTAAAATAGTTATATGGTACGTGTTGAATATTAGAATTATTTTCCTTATGTGCAGTACAGCACATGTTAACCCAAAAGTGGCCATGGTATGAAATTTCATACCAGTTGCGCCCCAGTACAAATATAGTAGCAAAATCAGGGTTTCGGAATGTACTCACTTTTGTAAACCTTTTTCCTTAGTAGAGGGTTTGAGATGTGTACCAATCAAGTATAACGTCTTTGCAGTTTGTAGTTTGCATTCTGGAGGTTGAATAAGAATGTGATTTTTATTTACAGCATGATGATGCCCGGTAAAATTTTGTGCTCAAAAATTGTCATTGTTGAATTTTAAGTTAAGCATTTATTGTTGAAAACTTTACTACAATAACTAATTCAAAGTGTTATAATATTTTAAAATCCGTTATTAGCTTCAATAGTTTTGAATATAAGTTTTATTTTAGAGGTATAGAATTTCATACCATGGCCAATAAAGGAAACTTTTGTCATTTCTGCAGAGAAAATGTAGCAACATATGCTAATGCCATAATTAAAATATTAAATAATTTGGAAAAAGGTGATGTGCTGGCTAGAAGTATAGATAAGTCAAATGAGCTTGAGTTTGTTTTGGAACCTGCTGCCAATGCAGTTGTAACAATGAAAATGACGCAGGCAGTGATTTGGAGGGTATTTGTAACTTAGGCTGGCAAAGTACATCCTTCCTATGGAAATTCATTGGATTTTAACGAATTCCGATGGTGGGTCTTTTTGATAAATGCTCATTGAAGACTATGTACCGTTGGCCAATTAGGTATGGTTGTAGGCTCTGGTGATTGAACTCTTGACTGGAGGTATCCTTATTAGGTTGAACACTATGTAGCGGCTAAAGGAATAAGAGAACCTGGCCATACACTTGGAACTAATATTGCAGAGAGATTGTGCTGCGGATTTCTGCCTCAAAATAACAGACGATTTTTAATAGAACTGGAAATTTTAAAGGAGAAACAAGTAAACCAGGTACCAATTGATACCAATAAGACAGTGTTAAAAGTATTACTGTATGATTTGAAGACGGAACGAGTTTCGCACCACACACTTGTGGGCCAAGAATCTGGTATGACAACAGTCAAGTGACTATTGCAACAATTTTGGAGACCCACAGAGCAAAACGTCTGGCTGTTTGCAGAAGATGGAGCTGAGCAAACCAAGAGAGAATTACTATTCCAAAGCCCAATTTTTATTAATTTTTTTTTTTCTTTTTTCTTTTCCTTTACACAAAGCACAACAGCTGCAGTGTCAAGTTGTGACTAGCAAATTTTCAATACTAGCTAGATGAAATTTACCCAGTCTGGAGGAGAAATCTAGGGCCAGCTTATCTGGTCTGCTTTTCCGTGGTTTCTCAGGTCAATCCACCCAAGCTCACCAGGCAAATAACAGAGCAATTACTTAACAAATGAGTCTTGGACCATGGCAAACTTCCCTTCCTCCCTCATCTTTGTCCCTTATACACACACAGACTGCTCTATTACATATGTACTACACTACTATACATGCTCTACACTACCACAGTGCACTACACAACCGCAAGCCCACTGCACTACCGCACGCACACTACTCTAGATGAAAGTGATGTAGTGAACATTAAACTATTTAATTTTTAGTGCACCTCAAACAATAAAATTAGCATGTGATAGAAGAATGCAGTATTTTCTTTAAATCCAAAACTGTGTAAGTTACATGTCATGACGAGAATATTTATTAGGATATAAAATGCCATAAAACATAAATGTGATGTCATACTTTCCACATAGACATACTACTATATACTGCTAAATCAAATTATATTATATTATTAATTGCATTTTAACTAGTTTCATAAAAAATCCAGTAATATTTATGGCACAATTAAGAATAATTTGAAAGGACCTTTTCTCAGAAAATTATATGATGATGACATATTATTGTCATTGTGTTGGAACTGTGATGTCTTCAGACAGCGATGCAGGCATGACAAGGAGATATCTACGGTGATGCAATGTGCAGAACCCACTATGCATGAAGCTGTTTCTCTCCATCTCCTTTTCTAGATACTTCAAATGAATATATTAATGTTCCTTTTATTATTGAAGCCTACAATCCTAGGCTTGTAGATATTAGGCCTATATACTATTGGATGACGCGCCACCCACTGCTCATCTTCAATGAGTAGTGTACAGTTTAGGACAAGTCAAATGCTTTTAATGTTAATCACTTTTATCATTGTGTATTGTTTTGTCATGTTCAAAGGTGATGATGGTGTTGATGATGATGATGATGCTGAGGATGATCCAGACATCCTACAAGATCCTGTGTACCACTTGAACATGCAGCAGTATTTGACAGATTTCCTGCAGTCTGTCAGCCAGCAACCTTGTTTTCCCGTGTTCTCTCAACACTTAAATAACCAAGAACGACAGGTTTTAGCAGCCATTGGTATAGCCTTATAGCCTTATCTTTTATACACAAAATTGTTGTATTTTTTTTATTATTATTATTATTATTATTATTATTATTATTATTATTATTATTATTATTATTATTATATATTCCTCATGAGATTTGAAACAAAAGAATGCATGATGTACTGCATGTGTTAAAGTCACATTGCCTTGTAGTTTGGTTAAAGTTTGATGTGAAATCTTTAAGAATTGGCCCAAGTGCATATTGAAGTCAATATAGAATACTTTGATACGATTCAGGGAAACATATTACAATGATACAGCCAGCTTTCCTTGCTTTCTTATATACTTTTTGCTGTGATAACTATTTCTAAAAAACATCACAGAACAAATTTGTGGAAATGTGGATCTAGGCATCTATGTCAAATGGTAGATTCTGGTACGTAAACTGGGCTCTCTAGAAGGTGCTGTAGTCAGCTTCTAAAGGGTCTCATGAGGAGAAAAAGTACAGAAAAATTATTGTATCTTAGGAAGTTGTCCAGGACAATATTCCCAAGAAACCTCAACTGAAATTTAGCCATGGAAGTCTTCATTTGCTGTCTTTACTTCCTACAGTAAACACTGTTTTGAATTTGTTACTTACAACCCTGTTCACTTGCAATTATATGCAGTTTGCGTGTTCCATTTTTTGAAATCATTTCTGGAGTACTTATTACATTTCAGAATGATATCCACAAAACCTTTTGTTTGTTTATCCTGTATTTGGATACTTTCTTCTATGGCTTCTTCTCTAACCTAAAATCAATGTTTTCTTTCATAACATTACACTATGTGTTTATATATGTAATGATGCTCTTGGACCTTCCTCACATATGATATGCATCCATCTAGTGTAAAAAAAGTGGATGAATAAAATAATAGGTAAATAATTGGTAAAGGTTAGGCGTTTCTGATCTTATGGTGCGTAATTTTGCCTTTGTGGCAAATATCTCATATTTCAAAAATGTTTACAAGACAGATTATGTAATTACTCATAGGAAAAATATATGCATCTGTAATGTATAGAGCATTTTCCTATGTTAATGATAGGAGGCCTGCATATTACATTGTACATGTTTATAATTACCTAGCAAAAAACCAAAGCACTGTTTTCGTTTTAGATGATTGGTGTGTGTGTGTGTGTGTGTGCATGCATACGATGTGCATACGCACAGTGCAGGTGCATATATAGAACAATGGGGATATGTTCATGTATGTGTATGATTTAAGCACATGATAGTGTGTGTGTTTGTGTGTGTGTGTGTATGTATGTATGTATGTATGTATGTATGTATATAGATATGTTTGTGCCATTGAACAGTGTTCCTCTATATTCACATTTGCATGCTGCAGCAAAATCTTCTGGTGCTTGTTCTTTCTCTGAATTTATTATTCTGTGCTGGTAGTGTCACTGTTGAATTTCATACTTGATATTTTAAGACTGATGAGGCAATGTTCCAAATGGACATAAATAATAATTATCTAAAATATGGTTAATGTTATTATATATGTAATTTTTAAATATGAAAGTATTTACCATGCTGTACAAATAGGACTGCAAAAATTTTGTACTGTTCAATGAAATTGTTTATTTTTTGTGATAGTTTTGAAAATCATGCAAAGAATAACATGGAGTGTAAATGAGAATATATAAAAATAAGATTAAGATAATAGTATATATATATTATATATATAATATATATATATGTATATGTATGTATATGTATAAAAATGTATGATTGAATAGTTTTGAAAAATACAATTAGAATTGTTGGAATATATGTATGCCTTGATCTGAAAACTAAGATCAATTATAGTGAAATTTATAGAATTTTTTAGAGAATAGTTGCATATATTTGTACTGTTTTTGTATGATACTAATCTTGTATCATTCGAATTGAATCACAGGAATTGTAATAAAGGCAATATGGTAATAAAAGAATAGTTGAAATTATATTATTTATTGTAAAAAGGCATTTTTTTTGTTTTTATTGTTGAGGTAGCTTATTAGGTAGGTGTTTGATACGATTTAAAAACAAATGGCTCAATTTCTGTTCCTACTTTTGAGACCATTCCTTTACAGAAGCACGCTTATCCTTTTATTGATAAACTAATTTAATGTAAAAGAAAATCAAATCACTTTTTACACCATTGCAAATTGCCATTTGCTCTTCCTCCTTTAGTTCCTTTTGAAGCATATGAACTCGACAAAGAGTCTCTATCATACTCTGTTTTCTGCTATAGAAATGATTTGTTTCCATTTCATACCAGTCTTGTGTATCTCCCCTTCCACTGTCTTCCTCCATGTTGTTCTTGGCTGACCTTCGTCTTTTTCATGCCAAAAGTCTTCAACAAAGTAGTCCAGTCATTGTTTACATTTATTTCTTTAATAAATGGTTGTAAGAAAAATACTGGTTATTAGCCAATACCGCCCAGTGTCCACTATGGGGCTGCCATCATTCGGCCTGGACACTGCCCCAGCTCTTTTGGGTTACTTACGAGCATTAGCGTGGGCATTTACTTCTGGTGCTAATCATCTGTAAATATGGTTATCCTGCCAATACTCTGACGATATTTCCTCGTTTATGTTAACAGGGGCCCACGTCGGGAAAGTGAGGTTGGAATTTGGTTTGTGAAAGGCTTTAACTTGTGCATCAGCAACCCTTAGGTCCTAAAATTGCCATTTAAATATCAACTATCTTTTTTGAAATTGTTAGTTTCTAATTAATCTATTGTAAACTCACTTTAAAAGTTATCACTTTTAAGGCAAAGTTATCACTTGGGGTGGATTTTGATGACCTAAAACATTGCCAAAAACTGTTGCATAGTCTTCCGTGGCCGGAGTTTATGTTGTCTAGGCTATCCGTGACGAGCCGCCTCACTCATGGTGGACAGCAGTACGCTCTGAAGAAGGCCACAATACGCTGGCCGAAACGTTAGCCACCATGACAGAAACACGGCTCGTCCCTGATAGCCTAGACAACATTGCCAAAAATTATCAATAAAATGCTCTTAAAATGTTTTTAAAATGCCCTATAAAAAAAGAAAAATGACCAACAAATTTGATCAAAACCACTTCACAACTTAAGCTGTTGTGTATGCTACTGATGTAATAGAGGCTTCTTCCTTTTGTTCAAGTGAACTTAGCTTGCAAAATTTTGGTTTGGACTGTTGTTTAAAAGAAAATCTCTGCCTTTATTTATAGCAAAATTGGTCAAAATCACAATGGTGTCAATAGGTGTCACAGGAACCTTAAATTACATAGTTCACAAAGATGATCACCATACTGCTCTATTCTTTTGTTGTTGTTTTTTTAATTTACACAATTGTTTGTTTCTTCTTTACATTTCTCTCACGTCCTCAATATTTACAATGCGACTTGTATACATTATTGCTTTTGTGAGTACTTGTGCCTAATTAATGTCTCATAAATGGAGACCGGAAAAATATGTAGTATGAAATGTCAAAATATGTACATAAATATGTAATGAAAACAGGAAGAATATGTAATAAATATGATAAACTATGTAATATTAAAATACACTAATTATAAAACGAACATTTATATAATACGAAATTTCTTCGATAAAAAATTCGAAATAAATTTTAAAAATAATACAAACGTTTTAAAAATAATTTGGAGAGTACAAATTGATGCATGCGTTGTACCATACAACTTTCCCGTCAGTTGTAAAACCTTCATCTACTACTATTCAGTACGGACGTTTAGCAGCTAGACTAGACGCAATTGAAACCATCCTATAAGCTGCCGATGTCTACGACCAGCAAACTATTACTGCTGCGTGTAACATTCTCAGCGAAGAGGTACATGTCAACGATCGGCAAAGTTACTCAGAAATTAAATTTAAAATTCACGAGACGCGGTGTCAGTGATACTTTTCACATCTGAAAGGAAAACTGATCTCAGTATCTGACGCGCACTTCGCGCTACTGAGATAACTGATGCCGACGAGCAGGACTGTAAGAACATCCTATTGCGTCTTCGTGTAGCGAACCTCGGGTAGACAGCACGTAGTAACGATGTAGGAAATACGAGTAGTTTTTAATACATCCTTTCATAAAAATGAGTCATAAAATGGAAGAAAATTGATAGAATAAAAATATATTTTGTGAAAATAGCAAAATATGTAATTTAGTACTAAATATCTAAAAATATGCAACGAAAAATTTTGATATTGTGTTAGGACGACGACAATTAGCCGAGATTAATTTTTTTTAGGTCGGTATGTAGAAAGACAAAAAATATGTAATTACATAAAGTTCCTCGAAAACTCAAAAGAATTGTGAGAAATTGAGCTCGCAGTTCTGCATTTTCAGAACCACTCAAACTTTATATTCTTAAAATTTTTCAACGAAAATGTCCATTTTCGACGAAGTTTTACATTTCCATAGTATTCTTAAAATCATGTTTCGGTTCTATAATTAGGGAACCGAAAAATGGAAAAAAGTGCAAAAAAAAATCTTTAGGTGGTAATGGATGGCAGCTGGGAAGAGAGTGGAGTAAAACCGAAAATATAGCCCAGACCAAAGAAATAGAAGTTCGTGAAAGTTCGTAGTTCGAGAAAGTCTGTGCCGTTCTGTTACATCACTAGTTTATTTTATTTCACAAATCACACCACTGGTGCTATAATTGGGGCAGACGTTCTCGTATCCTCTATAACCGAAGTTATAGATTGAATTTATCTTGAAAAAGTGTGTTTCCAAATAATTCCGATTTTTACCCGGTTATCCTTCGAACAAGTCTTGTAAACTTAAGTGACTTGGTGGCTCAAGAATGATCAGTAGCAGCGAGAGTGGAGATGGAAAGGGAAGTAAATGCTCTCGTGGCTCAGTGGCGAAGTCGTTTCCACTAATGTTTCACCAATGAGGTTCCGGCTTCTATTCCCGTAGAATCCCCGTAGAACCCAAAACGTGTTTGCATGCTTCGCAGGGGCTAGTCCAACCCGTGGTGAAGCGTGCTAAACCTTACCAATTCTGGCCGCTGGGTAGTGAAGCTGGAGCGCGTAAGAGAGAGGCGCGTAGGCGAAGATGCTATCTGGCGGTGCTCTTGACAACTGAGACGTAACGGACTATATTAATTAACGGAGGATTACTTCCTAGCAATAGTTAATGGAGGATTCCTTCTAAAGCGTGAAGCGCCCCCAAGGGGCAGGCGCAACAAATTTTTAAAAAAGTAAAAAGGGCAGCGAGCAAGCAAGCCAATCAGTATCAGTGAACGTGGTAAGGGCATTCGTAAATTTGTCTATTTGCGAACCACAGTTCCACGTCGTATTTTGAATTCCCGGACCTCCACCTAACGAGCTCCGTATTACCAGAAAACCAAGGAATTACAGAAATAAATTAAAAAAAAAAATAATTACATGGGAATTTGTCGCCTTTTTGTTGCTCAGTTATACGTGAAAAGAAATTGTGTTGCTCTTCAGATACCACTTAATACTGTAAATGCGAAATTTGCCCTCTTTGCGGCGAGTGACGGTGAAGGAACGACTGCTCGTCGCATATAGGTACCACGGAACAACAACCTACATCGTGATGTGACAACCGTGGTGAAAAGATTGAATCAGACTCGCAGAATACATTAAGATTTTCCGCCTCACATAAAAAGATGAAGTTTCACAATTATTACAATTGTAGTAGAATCAGAAGATTTTGCAGTGACAATAACAGTTTTATGAATTATAAAAAGGACGAGCATATACATTTTACTTTCGTTTTTCTCCAATAACGCGTGCATATTATTACGCCCTTTTATTACGTTCCTATCAATCATTCGATTTCTCTGCGCGTCCAGCCGCTGCAAAGGATTGTGGCTTGTAGGTGCTAAGAAGGGATTCTCACATCCGTTGCTTTACTGGGGCAGGAGCCCTCTCCGAGATTCGGACTAGGTGGGTAGCAAAGACAATATGTATTTATTTACGTCAAAGTTAAAAACTGTGTGTGCGGCTTATTACGAGGAGAAGGCCAAACTTGCAGGACTTAATTTGAAGTTAAATGTATGCCCAGAAGAAAACAAGAGGCCATCTCAGCATTTGCACAAGGATCAGGGAAAGTAGATGAAAACCTGACGGAAATGGGAGTCATTGATCCAGAAGCTGACGTACAATAATTGTTACACGTTCTTTAAAATTATTCAGTCCAAATTGTAAATATTACATTACATGTCACTGTTAAAATTAATATTACTTTTCTTTTGGATGTTCGTAATAGTCTCTAACTGCATAGAAACAGTTGTGCAGTACAAAAGATTTTACTTGGGACTCAACTTTTTGTATCGAATTTAGACGTTTAATGTCATCTTGCATAGTGTTTCAAAATAATGTGCATGTATTGTATGTGATTTTTTTTGTAGTGAGCAGTTGATACTGACAAAAGGATTGTAAATGCAAACATCATGTAAATTTAATTTCAAAATGTTAATATTCAAAATTAAAACATCGCTCAAAATCCATCTGGTTTAGGAATCTCTAACATAGTCACGGGAGGAGTAATTTGAAACGACAATGACAGCGCGCTATTTTACCACTTGTTCAAATTTGCCCGTAAGTTCGAAAACATTTTTAAAATTAGCTTCAGCTATTTTACTTGGAAAAGGAGAATCATCATTGTAGCAGGAACGATTTTAACAACTAGTGTAATAACTCCTTTTGCAATCATTGCTCTGTGGTTCAGTTGTAAATGAGAGTTGATGTGAAATAGAGGTGTTCGTGTTTTCTCGGTTTTAAGAGCTTTGGAAGGTAAGTTTTTGACTTTTAATTATAGTTTGAGTTCGCTTAGACCGATTCTAATTCTTAACGAATGAAATACAATATGTTTTAAATATTGTTTTTGTGCCTAGAATCTATAATTTCGAACGTATCAAAGGCCGGCTGTAGTTTGCAA